ATGCCCTTCATCAGCTCTCCTCAGATTATTTTTTCCCCTTTGTGGGATAGAGAATGATTAGTTGATTATGGACTTGGGAATTCCCCCCACCTTCCCTCTGTGGGAGGATAAAAGGGGGTAGGAATTGAGTATTTCCTTTTTTACATGTAGAGGGTTACAGGTGGATCAGATAGGGTAATTACCTTCTTCCATGGTGGTTAGGTTATGGTAAAAAAAAAAAAAAGATGGTTAGACTATGGTGAGATGGTTGTCCTGTGGGGAGATCTTTTAAAAGGAGATCAGAATAACAAAGTTTGTTTTTTCCCTTCACCCTGCCAAAATCACAAGGGGGTTTTTCTCCAACCATCACTCAGACAACATGGTGTGGAGTTTCTTAAGATACCACAGTGTCAAGCAACTCTATATTCAGCCCACCAGAAAGAATCAATAATCCTTTACATGCTCTTCACAGTTGTAGAGTTTCTACAGTAGTTTCTACTTGCAGTAAGTTTTGCTTTTGTATTCATCTATTCTCTAGTGTTAGGGGTAATGATTCACTCTATGACATAAATTTTGAAATTGATCTAAGAGAACACTGCATGTGCAATTTCACTTTGTCTTTTGGCATGCATATGGCAATTTTACCTGGTCTTTTTTCTTGGATGAAAAAGAATTCATTCTGCCCACATCTTTATACTAAACAGGTATGTTATTTTGTCAAAATTTAACAACTACTTCATATATTGGATAGATCATTAAATAAGATAAATATCACCTTCAATAACACTTTTTAAATAAAGCCTACAATGTCTACTTAGATATATCAAGAGTTTCAGTGGTGCAAACTTCCTTACATAGTGAAATTTCATGTGGAGCTCTACTTGTTTACCGAATCACTTCTTTTAATGATTGCTTCAGTATATTGTGCTGACAATTGTGTTGCAGTCATTTAATTCATTTAGTAAATATCTGCTATGATTGAGACACCATTATATACATTGAATTATTGATGGACAAAACAATTAGTGACTTCTGTCTCTGGGAATAAATGCTATCTACAGCTTCAGGAAATAAGTTATAGAAAATATGCACATTTTTGAATGATTGAAGTTAAAGAAATAGAAGAAAAGTGAAGAAACAGAAGGTCAAAGAGCAGGATGATTGCATTTTTTAAATGAATACTTAAAACAAGTGTCATTGATAAGAATAGTTAGGAAGACTTGTAAGTGGGATTGATGAAGAATATTTCTGGTTGAAAGATGTAGCAGTCAGAAAAAGCATGGAATGCAAAGTGTGATGGAAAATGAAGAGATACAGGGAGATAGAAGTGATTTAGAGTGGAGAAATGCAGTAGAATATTAGATATAAGTAACACCATGGACCAGGTAAAGACTTTGCTTTTAAGTAAAAAGGGTCAAGTTGTAGTTCTGTGGACAGACAGTAGCCATACTTGTTTTAACATTTCAGGAGATCTCTGGCCAATCTCTTTTGAGATTTGACTGTATGGAGTCTGATTAGGAAACCATCATCACAGACAAGATAAGAAATAATGTTGCATAGATCAGAGATCAGAGTAGTGCTGATGAATGGAACTTCAGATGTTAATGAAAGAGAGAAGCTAGGGATGTTTCTGAGCTCTATAAGTTAAACAGGGAGAATTTTTTTTTGCAGTAACTGTGATGGAGAAACAATCCCGATTAACCAGGCCTAGGAGAGGATAGGAAAATCATAATTTAGTTTGAGAATTTTAAGTTTAATACAGCTACCAGTAATCCAAAAGAAGATCTGAAAGAGCTATATGGAAGTCAGGAGAAAGACTTGGCTAGAGCTATACTGTATGGAATCCTTAGCAGATAGATGATATTTGAATACATGAGACTGTAACATTTCTGTAGGTGTGAGTGTAGATTAACGAAGAGAGCTAAGACACACTAAAAGGCATGTGTTTAAATAGTGGGTGGTGTGACAAGACAAGAAACCAAGAAAAAAGTCTTGAGAAAAATCAAGATTAAAAAAAAAGTGAGGAAAACGGATCAAAGCAGAGGGAGCCAAAATCTTCTTTGTCAAATACTGTTGATATGTTATTGAAATGAGATTGGTTATCATAACTTTAGAAGACTTGAAAAGAGAAGTATTAAAGATAAGTCAATAGCTTAGATACACAAAGTTGGTACAGAGATTGGAAAGCCTGATCTGGAGGCTTTCTCTGGCAGCTATGGTGTTTCAATTAGGCTAATCTTGGTTCAGTGCATCTACCAACACAAATATATTTGGGGATTCAGCTTGCGTTGTGGCAAAGGTGTCCTGATGGAGTGATTTAGAGATTCCACAAAGTACTTGATGTCATATATTACATCAATCTCTAGTCATTCTTGAGACTGGAGAAATAGCCTGCAAGTACTATGTCCCTCTAGCTCTAGAATATTTAAACTTACTTACTTTTTGCATCAGTTACAAGATTTTAGTTCTAAAATTACCTCTGGATTCTAGGAAGCCTGTGGTAATAATTTCAATCATTAGCATCTGATAAACCTTAGAAAATGAACTGATTAAGGAGGTAAAAGTTTCTCTTTTTATTAACCTTCTTGTTCTGTGTTAGAAGTTTTATAGATTTCAATCTATTGGAAGCCATTGATTTTTACTTTTTCTTCTCAAGGAAACAAAAGAATACTTTTTTGAAGCTGTGTCTTCATAAACTCCATTATACAGAACGTAAGTGTCATCTGACAGAAGTCATAGAATTAAGGTTTTTAGATATGGAATAAACAAGTAATAATGGAAAAGGCCAGGTGGGGTTGTGTTCACCTATATTTCTAACTAATGAAGAGGTGGATACAGCTAGGGAAAGTTAGTGAGACCCTATCTCAAAATTAAACTATAAACTATAGGATTAGAGGCATGATTGAAGGGGTAGAATGCTTAGCAAACAGGAGGTCCTGTGTTTAATCTGCAATAACTAAAGTTAACTAGAGCAAATTATATATGTGTATGTGTGTGTGAAAGCAAATTATGTATTCTAAGTTTCCCAAATTGTTCATTTTCAGAACATGGAAGAAAGAATACTAAAAATATCTTGAAAGATTGGGAAATAATATTGGATCATGAAAATGCTTAAAAACTTGTGTTAGCCAGGCACCAGTGGCTCATGCCTATAATCCTAACTACTAAGGGGGCTGAGAGCTGAGGATCAAAGTTTAAAGCCATCTGAAGCATGAAAGTCTATGAGATTCTCACCTCCACTTAAACAACAAAAAGCCAGAAATGTAGCTGGTGTTCAAGTCGTAGTAGAGCAAAAAAGCTCAGGGACAATACACAGGCCCTAGACAGACACAAACAAAACAGAACAAAAGCTTTTAGAAAACCATCAGAAAACATGTAAACTCTTATAAAAATATATCAACACTCAAAACTTTATTTTGAATTTAAGACTCTTTATCATAACACCAATGGGTAGTATCCTGGGGAGTGGGTAAATGATTTACAACAGTATTTTGGTAGCTCTTTGTTCTCAAAGGAAGACCTTTTGGAAAGAACAAAATCTTAGAAAGAGTCCTTTGTCCCAAAGATGAATTTGTACCCACTAGTCTTCCTCAGCTTCTGAGTGGATGTTCTGTGACTCATACGCTCCTACTCTTTCTACCCAGGTAGCATACAGCACTGGAAAAAAAAAGTAACTATGACATTGAAAAAAGATTCTACCTTGCTATTCATTTTTGTATATTACTCTTAAATGCTTTTTTGTTGTTGGTGGTGGTCATGGGACTTGAACTCAGGGCCTGGGCACTGTCCCTGAGCTCTATCAGCTCAAGGACTCTACCACTTAAGCCACAGCACCACTTCTGGTTTGCTGGTTTATTGGAGATAAGACTCACAAGGACTGGGGCTGGGAAGGTGGCTCAGTGGTAGAGGGCTTGCCTTGCATGCATGAGGCCTTGGGTTAGATTCCCCAGCACCACATAAGCAAAAAGAAAAAAAGCCAGAAGTGGCACTGTGGCTCAAGTGGTAGAGAGCTAGCCTTGAGCTGAAGAGCTGAGGCACAGCACCCAGGCCCAGAGTTCAGGCCCCATGACCGGACCCCCCCCCCCACCAAAAAAAAAGACTCACAAGGACTTTTCCTCCTGTGCTGCTTTTGAACCGCGATCCTCGGATCTCAGCGTCCTGAGTGGCTAGGATTTTGGATATGAGCCACCAGTGCACAGCTCTTAAATACTTTTTATCTTGTAATTTTACAACAATGCTTTTTCTCACAGGAAAAGATTTTGTACACAGAATGCATGTCTTGGTTTTATTTCTAGTATAGAAAACAAATTTAAAAAGTATGTATGTCTTGGGCATTACACATAAAGGATTTTGTCTAAAGTATCAAACTTTCTTGTATAATAATTTTATCTGAACTCTGGCCCTAAAGAACACGACTTAAAATGCTATAATGACATCATTTTTCACATAGAGATTTACATGTATATTCATGAAATTATTATTCATGATTTGGGTGAGATGCATAGGGCCCAAAGGAATAGTCAATATTCTTCCTTAATTGAACATGGGCTCATAGGAGTTGTTTATATATAAAATTGAATTTAGCTGAGTGCCAATTGCTGATACCAGTAAAGCTAGCTACTCAGGAGGCTGAAGATAGAGGTTTGATGCCAGCCCCAGCAGGAAAAATTCCTGTATCTCTAATGAACTACCAAAATGCTAGAAGGGGAGCTGTGACTCAAGTGGTAGAGTGCTAGACTTGAGCAAAGAAGTTCAGGGACAGCACCCAGGCCCTGAGTTCAAGCCCTAGGACCAACACACACACACACACACACACACACACACACACTTGCATTCTTTTTAACATAGCCATCCCAAGTTCCAAATCTGAAAAGTCACATTAAAAACTACAATATTCTAATTATATGAATTCATTTTTTTCTAAATTAAAATGATCTATATCACTAGGAGGATAGGCCACAGAAAACATTTGGACATATAATATGTCAGTCTTTTTTTATCTTTTATTTGTTTGTTTTCAGTTCGAAAGGATATTGTTCGCATTCTCCCCAGTTTAGACGTCGAAGTCAAAGACATTACTGATTCTCATGATGCTAACTGGTTTCTTCAGCTGCTCTCTACCGAAGACCTTTTCGAAATGGCCCATAAAGACTTTCCCATGGTGGCTGAAGTGCTAGAAGCACCTCCCAGAAGTCAGCTGTCCAATAGTATTTTACAGCCTGGGAAGACCATTGTGATCCACAAAAAGTACCAGGCATCAAGGATCTTGGCTTCAGAAATCAGAAGCAGTTTCCCTAAAAGACACTTCTTGATCCCCACCAGCTACAAAGGCAAGTTCAAGCGGAGGCCTCGCGAGTTCCCAACTGCCTATGACCTGGAGATAGCCAAGAGTGAGAAGGAGTCGCTGCACGTGGTGGCCACCAAGGCCTTCCACCCCCTGCACCGGGAGCTCTCCTCGGTGTCCATCGGGGACCAGTTTCTGGTTCATCACTCGGAGACCACGGAAGTCCTCTGCGAGGGAATCACAGAAGTGGTCAATGTTCTGGCCTGTGAAAAGCTCCTCACGAAGTCCAAAGAGGCCGCGCGGCTCCCTCTGTACATGGAAGGAGGTTTTGTAGAGGTGATTCATGACAAGAAGCAGTACCAGCTGGCTGAGCTCTGCCAGCAGTTCCGCTTGCCGTTCAATGTGAAGGTGTCTGTGCGAGATCTCTCTATTGAAGAGGACATCTTGGCATCCACCCCCGGCCTGCAGTTGGAGGAAGACATCACAGACTCTTACTTGCTCATCAGTGACTTTGCCAACCCTGGGGAATGTTGGGAGATCCCTGCTAGCCGCTGGAACATGACTGTTCAGTTAGTTCACAATGTGTCCAAGGACGCAGGTTCGCCTCTCGTCAGGAGCCTGGTGGAAGAGATCACCGAAGAGCAATATTACATGATGCGGAGATATGAAAGCTCTCTCTTACACCCCCCACCCAGACCCCCCAAACATCCCTCCGTCGAGGGAGCCAGGTTAACCCTGCGCACCCTAGCAGAAGAAAGGAGACTGGATCTGCCCGCTTCTCCCAAGGTAAGGCTGTGAGTCCCCAGATTTTCCTCTGGAGTGTTTTATTCATGAGCCAATTTGTTTCGAGTCTTTTGTTGAGTTTGCTTTTTTCTTACTTGCGTGCCATCTTTGAAATGAGCCCTTCCGATGCACAGTGGGTGAATGAACATCGCCAGAGCATAAGATGTTGCAGTATTGTGTGTTTTGATGCTTAACCAGTCAATGTGGCATGGAGTCTACACTGAATGAGAAATAGCAGGAATGGCATTTAGATGTAATGGCCCACACCGCTCCTACTCACAGGGTTTCACAACTAAGAAGACTTAAAAAGCTGCCCCAGAGGAAGGTATCTTTTTTATGTTGGATGAGCAAGAGTGGTTTATTTTTCCGAGGTAGAATTATTTTAATACTTCATACAGGAAATGAGCATACAATAAACTCCCATTTTTTTCTGGAAAGTTTCTGGTAACATGCATCTCTAACACATGTCTTCATTTTGTTTTATCTGAAGAAAGATGTAAAAATATCTTGGCAGCACTGTGTGTGAGAATGTGAGCATCTGCCCACATTATGTCTATCTCAGAATTGCAATCTTTAACAGTTCTATTGGAAAACAAAATCAATAAAATTGCAGACAGTATGAGATCATTATAGAATTAACAACCCCATCACCACTCTGAAGATTCTGGATGGTGGCTCAGCTTCAGCTCCACTTGTTGTCTTTGTCTGCCTCCTGGCTACCTGGAAAGATCTCATCCTATTAGGACGTTCGGGTTGTTTATCCGGCTATGGTTCTAGGGAGTGTAGAAGAAGTGCCTTCTGTCCTGGTAGATGCTGTGCTAGCAGTTTAGGGAATCTACACAATTACTAAAACAAAGAGAGATGTCTTGTTTGCTCCCTGAGCTCTGGAAGCATAAGTAACCTTGGACTTTAAGGCTCAACTAAAGATGTTGAGATGTTCATTTCACCTCTCAAATATTACATTCAGAATGTATGCTGGAGAAATCTAATAAGAATTACCAAATTTATTTTTAGAAAAAAAAACTAGCAGAAATATTCTTTTTTGGTATAACAGTTTAGGAGGAGTCATTTCAAATTCATTTTAATTTATTTTATTTTTTGTTGATCATGGGCCTGAACTCTGGGCCTCGGTGGTGTCCCTGAGCTCTTCAGCTCAAGGCTAGTGCTGTACCACTTGAGCCACCACACCACTTCCGGCTTTTTCTGCTTCTGTGGTGCTAAGGAATTGAACCCAGGGCCTCATCTATTCAAGGCAAGCACTCTACCACTGCGCCACCTTCAGAGCTCCCATTTCAAATTTTAAAGAAACAGTTCATAGCATTGATTAGCGGTTGATACTCCCATGAAAAGTGTCTGTCTGTCTTTGCCTCTTCTCCATGACATAATTTAGTACTGGGTGATGGGTGGAAAGGAATCCTTTCCTTGTTTTTATTTGTGATCAGAAAAATGCCATCACTCACCCAAAAATGTATACACCTAAATTCCCAGATGATTTGAAGGTGTTATATTACATGTCAAAGGAGACTTTGCATGTGTCTGTAAAATTCTGGACCTTGAGATGAGAAGTTTAACCTAGATTATGCTGGTAGACAAAAATTAATTACAGTGTTTTATCTATTTGTTTGTTTGTTTTCTAAACCTGAGGCTTGAACTCAGGGTGTGGGCACTGTCCCTGAGGTTCTGTTGCTCAACTCTAGCACTCTCCCACTTGAGCCACAGCATCACTCCAGATCTTTCTGTTTATATGGTACTGAGGAATTAAATCCAGGTCTTCATGCATGCTAGGCAAGCACTCTACCACTAAGCCACATTCCCAGTTTTGTATCACAGTGTTTAAAAGAACCTTTTTCCAGTTGAGGTCAAGATTAGAGAGGATGTTTTTCAAGATGGAGAAAGGGGCCATAAACCAAGTGAAGCAGGTGACCTTCAGAAGCTAGAAAAAACTGGCAAGCATTCTTGTTTAACAGTCTTCTGAAAGAATGCAGTAGTGAAATGTTAGAGGCATGGATCAGATGGTAAAGCAAGCATGAGACCATGAATTGAAATCACAGTACAACTAGAGAGAGAGAGAGAGAGAGAGGGAGAGAGAGAGAAGAAAGAGATCAACAATAACAAAAATGACAAATGACAATATCTTGATTGGAGGCAGTGAAATCAGTATCAGTCTCCTGACTTACAAAACTGTGAGACCATAAATTTATTGTATTTGAACTGTTGAATTTATGGTCACTTATCATGGCAATGAAAAGATAATATATGGCATAAGGAATACTATAGGACATAAAGTTGAAAGGGGAAAATAAGTAAAAATCTTTGAAAGCTAAATCCGTATATCACCTACTGTTGATTTTGTTGCATTTTTCCTTATAATGAATCTATTGTCCATGGAGAAATTAAGGGCACAGCTAAGCTTCAGGAGCTATTGAAAATGGCCAGAATGTGCTTTATTTTTCTTTACATATTGGTTTTATTTTCCCAGGAAAGTTTTGTCATACAGGTGACATGATTGCTGAGAGTTTCTACATCATTACTAGAAAAGAATGTCACATGGGTTTACATGTATGTCCATCTCTGGACTCAATCAACTTACTGGCTAGCCAAATTAGGGACAAGATTAATGCGTGTTCTAGATTCAATTTTCTGTAACAGAAAATCACAGGCTGAATAATTTATAAAGAACAAAAGCCTATTGTCTTATATTTCTGGAGAATGGGAAGTCCAAATTTAAGTTGTTTCCAATATGAAACCATGTTGTTGCATCATCCAGAGATGTGAAAGGAACATTAAGTCTCCACATGACAGAAGAGCAGGAGAGAGAAAACTCATTCCTACAATCCAGGTGCCCTGCCACTCCCCTTTATTTAGATATGAATTCAAGGCCTGGCGTTTGCATTTTTTGATGTTCAATTATTCTTCAAGTAGGGTTTACCCATTTATGCCCAGGCTGGCTTGGACCACAGTGTTACTATTTACACTTTCCACATACCTGGGATGACAGGTGTGTGCCACTGAACCCAGCATCTCATTAGATGAGATGAAAACTTGTGAACTTTTCACATTGACTGACCTAGCACTCCTCCCTAGTTCTGCCTTCCAAATAGCTTGGATTATAGACATGAGCCACTGATTCGGGTCCCTTTTTATAGAGAAATTCATCCATTAAATCCCTTGTAACTTAATCACTTCCTGTCAAACCCCACTTCCCAGCACTATTGCTCTGGAAATTAAATATCCAAAACATGGATTTTTGAAGGGACAAATGCATTCAAACAATAGCACTAAAGAAAGAAATGAAGTCTGGTTGTCTCAAATAATAGATATTAGAACTATAATATGTGAACACTAGAAGATTCAAAATCATGCCGGTAGATTGGGAGATGAAACAGAACAGGAAGGAAGAAAAAAAGCCTAAACCAGGAAAGTATCATTCATAGATTAATTTTTTTCCTTTGACAGATGAAAATGATTTAAATGTTTTATTGGGAGGGAAATATAAAACAACATGACTATTTCTAGGCAGTGAAGGTGAATGTAATCATAACTAAATTCTTTTATGCAGAGCATCATATCAACTTTATTTAATATTGCTTCTTTATTGATTAAACCCTACATTTCTTCTTGGTATTGAATTCTGAGTCCCAATCTACAGAAGATTCATTAGCGTTTGCAAATTGTTTTTAAAATGATAGAAAGTACTTTATGAAAAGAGGGCAATGGGAAGTGGTGCTGTGGCTCAAGTGGTAGAGTGCTAGCCTTGAGCTGAAGAGCTGAGGGACAGTGCCCAGGCCCAGTTTCAACCCACAATTGACAATAAAAGAAAGAAAAGAAAAGAGGGCAACCTTGCTGTCCTGTTACAATATCCTCACCAATATTTGAGTCCTAGAAAGAACTTTTGTGGGAGGGTAAAATTTTATATCAAAATATAGTGGACTGTAGGTGAGAGATGTTGTTAGGGAGATCTTGCTTTGATTAATTTTTTTTCAGGTAGAAAAGAATAATATACATTTTCCTTGCTTCTTTTTGTTGTTGTTGTTGTTGGTCATGGGTCTTGAACTCTGGGCCTGGGCGCTGTCTCTCAGCTCTTCAGCTCAAGGCGAGCGCTCTACCACTTGAGCTACAGCACCACTTCCGATTTTCTAGTGGTTTATTGGAGATAGGAGTCTCATGGTCTTTCCTGCCCGGGATGGCTTTGAACCGCGATTCTCAGATCTCAGCCTCCTGAATAGCTAGGATTACAGGCGTGAGCCACCGGTGCCGGGCCATTTTCCTTGCTTCTATAGTAAATAAAACACTATATTTTCTCTGAAATCACCTAAAATGTCATAAGATGCTATCATTTACCTGTGTTCAGGCCAGATAACCTCATTTTCAGTGATGTTTCTTATCATGAAGATACGGATCTGCTTAGTGGGTCATTTATGGAACATCAGCAGAAGATCTGTCCATCTCTGTATAATCTATTTTTTAAAGTCTTCCAACCAACTCTTTCCTATTATTACAATTTCACCCCTTAATACATTTCTTTTCTGTTTCTTCTGATACCTACATTAAAGCTTTTCTATAATGAATAGTTTCGAAGTGATTGGATAGAACATTATGTTTTACATGCAGGAAGCAATCATTGAAAACATGCCTCTAGAATTTTGGATTGTATACAGAATATTCCTTTAACTTTACAGAGCAATTTGTGAGGGTTATTCAGAGTTTAAACATTCAAGTTCATTTCCTTCGTTAAAATGCTTTTTCACACTATAGAAAAGAATACTAGATGCATCATTATATCAGTTTACTTTTGCTTTCCTAATGGATCATTAACTTTACACATCATTTTTTGCATTGCTAATAACAGGACAGATGTATAGTTTAGGAGGAAGAATCTAAAAAGTACTTAGTATTAGCCAAATTCCTCTATAAAAAGTATTCATTGTCAGTTGTGAACACCATAAGTTCATCTAAGACATTTTAGAAATTAAAAACAAATGAGGAAAAGTTATTTAAAAAAC